AGGTACGATCTTCAATGTACATTATCAGATATACGTTTCCGATCGATACGAGAGAAATAATATCAAGCTTGGAAACAGTGGCAATGTCTCTTTCTATGCACATGACCATCATTCACGCTTTCTGAATCATGTAAACATCGATAGTGATGACTGTGTCATTTGTTTCGCCTGGTTGTTAATATGTATATTACTATATGTTTTGTTTATATTAGACCTCATTGTCAGGATAGACATATTCTGACGTCTCTGAATACTCCACAAAGTAATGCTAAATGGTAACTTTAATTCGGGAAACGGTAACGTGGGGGACAGCGAAGAAAATGGCTGAGATATTTACAACTGGATGCTATGGGTATGACGTTTCTTTGGATCATAAACTGATTAAACAAAAGTCCTACAAAGGTATATGTCAGTGTTCGTACTGCTAATGTTTATCCCCACAGGCATGAACTAAAATGTAAAACTGCAATTTTGAAAAGAGAACTGTGTGGTAACGCATTATACATATGGGATTACACCTTCTTAGTACAGAACAGATTCTAGTACTTGTGTTGGGTTGAATCCCATCCGGGATTCGAAATCACACTCTCAGAGTCAGGCACCTAATCGCCAGCACACAAAGTCAGCCATCTACCACACTCAACCACCGCGGCTTCCACAAAAATGGAAGTCGGAAAACTGGTTGTCTAGACCACGGGCTTTGTGTACTCCTCTGATAAGTATAAATTGGCACGGCTCTCACGTCCGAAAGCTATGACTACACAATGCCATTTAGAAGGTGTCAAATGTAACGCATGTTATATATTGGGATTACACTTTCTCAGTACAGATTGTAGTGCTATTGTTGTGTTGAGTCCCATCCGGGATTCGAACGTCAGTCTCAGAGTCAGGCACTCAACCCGACAAAAGTAGTGATGACAAATCTCTAGAATCTGTACTTAACTGAGAAAGTGTAATCCCAAATGTAACATGCGTTACAATTGGCCACTTTCTAAATGACATTGTGTATTCATAACTGTGTTGGGACGGTGGGTAGCTCAGTCACGCCGAAGACGAAGGTTCAGTTCCCCACATGGGTACCTGTAACCCATTCATGCACCAACACCGAATCCTCACAGAGAAGACATACCTGGGATACCAGGGATATATCCCTGCCCCCGAACCCCTGGAAAACTAGCATTGATGTATAAAGACAACCATGCAGTACCGGCGAGCCTACCTGGATAAGTCCAAACGGAGAGGGGCGGTGGGGTAGCCTAGTGGTTAAAGCGTTCGCTCGTCACGCCGAAGACCCGGGTTCGATTCCCCACATGGGTACAATGTGTGAAACCCATGTCTGGTGTCCCCCGCCGTGATATTGCTGGAATGTTGCTAAAAGCGGGTTAAATCTAAACTCGCTCGCTCACTCGTAAGTATGTTGTACTTTTAAACAATTTGTATATGTTATTCTTTCCAAATATTTTACTTGAAATATTTTACCCCCACCCCACCCCACCCCACCCCCAATATAAATGGACAAGTAAGGAAAGAAAATAATAAGAAAATTATTTAACAATTACAAAAACAAGAAGAATTGTCTGGATGCTGTTTTTTACATGCTGTTTCTAACGATATACTTTAACCAAAGGTTATAAAGCTATGCTATGGGTTCTATGCTAATCCTAAGAATGGTAAGGCTCTTGGAAGCGGTTCTTGCAGAGTGTTTAAGTGCATCAATGAAACCTTAGTTCCATATTGAACGATTTTGTTTTATCGGGTAATGCACATATGCAATTTGCCCGAAAGGTGAACAACTAGGTCTGAAGGGGGCGTAAACGAGCAAAATAGCAAAGGAAGGTATCCGTATGTCACCGTAATAAGAGATTTGATCATTAGAAACAGGAAATATGGCTAGAGAAAGGGACATTCATCTGTAGCATATACTTATATACTTCCAGCCCTTTTGGGCTGTCATTAATTTACGACAGCTTTTCAGCTTGTTAACAGCAAAGGTTGTCACATGTTTCTAACAGAACATCATACGATAACTAAGAGTATGCATCCAAGTGCGAAGTCACAGAGGGAAGAATCAGATGAATTTTAATCGTTGATTTCTTTCTGTATCCGCAGGTTGTTTGTGTGCAAGATTGAACGAGTTGAAGTGACCATGTTTAACCCGTATATCAGTCTAAACCAATGTGCTCTTTAATATCTCTCAAGAAGGGAATTACGTTTGTAGTGTATATACTCTATCCCAGTGTAGAGGAGATGTGAAGCTGTATCCCACTGAGGTTATGGATATTAATATTTCCTGTATATTTATGTCTCTATGCAAGGTCTCTCAGTGCATGTTTCATCACGATATTCTATAAGAAATCTACAATCACGTTGAGAAAGCCGACACTCGGCCAAGACATAATACTCATATCGTGATGCTAGAGCACAAGAATATAGCAATTATGTATCTGACATGATGTATGTATGTATGTGTATGTGTGTGTATGTATGTGTGTGTGTATGTATGTTTGTGTGTGTATGTATGTGTGTGTGTATGTGTGTGTGTGTGTGTGTATGTATGTGTGTGTGTGTGTGTGTATGTGTGTGTATGTATGTATGCATGCATGTATGTATGTGTGTGTATGTGTTTGTGTATGTGTGTGTGTGTATGTATGTATGCATATAAGTGTGTGTCAGCGTGTGTGAATGTTTGCATGTGCGTGAGTGTGCGTGTATGTGCGTGTGTGTCCATGTAGTTAAGCAGTGTTAGCGAGGCAAAGTCACGTGCTCATTCACGCATGTTTCTAAACAGGTGCCGCCATGGACCAGTTGAGGAAGAAGAAAACGTCGACGGTCGTCTTTAGTTCTCGTCTTCGGAAAAATGAAAGAGTACAGGACGATTCCCGCACTATCTCTGAGCAACTCCATCTAACTGGACATCGGTCGTTATCACACAAAAACCCTTCACACACACGTCAAAGAGACATGAGCCAATTACGTCTCGAAACAAACGCGTCTTGTATCCGACTTCCACCTATAAACCCTAACAAGGACAATCTCATTACCTCAGGTAACTCACTAAGCCCGCGTCTTAGCTGCTCGCCACACAAGCAACAAGGTGGCAGGAAGTATAGCTCCAGACCGGAAGTTCACGGCGAAACCAGTAGCGGAAGCACCACAGTAGTGCAACAAACCACCCGACGGACTGAAAACGTCGACGTTATACTTAGCAGTTACCTTGGACCTGTGTTGAGCTCTGGGAATGTTCACTACACACGTATCCTTCCTCCAATTGGCGAAACGTATAAAATCCGGGCTAAAAATTACTATCCCATGTTTGACCAGAAGCGCGGTCATTCGGACGACGGTGAGTTCAGTACATTTTATGACGGAGAGATGTGGATGGAAGATATCTTTCAGAAAATGAGAAGAATATTTATCTCCCAAGATAACGTTTTGAGAACATTTCTTTGCTCAGTAAGCTGTTATCGAAGGGGCGCCACTTGTTGCGAACTTGATACTGGCAATGGAAATATTGGTGTCGTAGAGTTCATGCGCCAAAAACTTATGAACGAAGTTCTGTGTATGTATTATTTGTGATTATAGACTTGTGTGGCCGGGGAGGATCATTTAACTGAACTTCCGGCCAAAAGAGGTATAAACTTGACTCCCAAAATAGAAAATGTTATGAAACCGTTCCTTGCCTGAAAACAGTCACCGACACACTGCAAATCTCATGCCCAAACTGTGACCCATAACTATGATGCTCCGATGAAATATGTATCCATCGAATAGTGCTTTCTTCTTGTTCTTGTTTTAATCGTATAAATACAATACTTAAATATTGAATATTGCGGTGTTCCTTAACTGTTTCGGATATTGAGTACAGGTTTATACTGTTATAAGTACCACTGTCACTTCTTATGGAGAAATAAATACATTTTAGAGGCGACCTGTGGTAAACATGTGTCTATAAAGTTATTTTAGGGGGTAGGGTAGGTTTCTCTTATTGTTTTCTACCCATTTTGGTTCATGTTTCACACGTTAGCCATACAAATCGGCAATAAAGGATCATGCTGTTGGGTTCAGATCCCACAGCGTAAAGTGCTGATCGTGTGTTTAGTTTTGGTCAAGACTCACCTACGTACAGACCGGTCATGGCAGTCTGTCCCTGTGACTACAACTTGACCATCTCCTTCATATTAAGCTCTCAGTGGAGAAGCGGCCTCGGGTGGCCCAGTTGCCCGAGGCGCCAATTTCGCAATGCTGTGTATTATCCCTCAAGAAACATATGATTGCGGGTTCGAATTTTACTTAGTACCGGATCATGCTACTTATTTAAAGAACACCGAAGTTGTTCAAGTCTGAGACCTGCATCACCCTAGGCTTCCTCGTGAATTCACCCGTGAAGATCCGGGTTAGAATTGATCTTCAGTAACCCATGCTTGTCGAAAGAGGCGACTAACGGGATCTGGTGGTCAGGTTCGATGACTTGGTTGACACATATCATCGGTTCCCAATTGCGTAGATCGATTCTCTTGCTGTTGATCACTGGATTGTCTAGTCCAGGCTCGAATATTTACAGACCGCCTCCATATAGCTGGAATATTGCTGAGTGCGGCGTTATACTAAACTCACTCACTCACTAGTTCGCACAGAACATGTTGCTTTGTAACAGAACACCGATGTGGTTAAAGTCTGAAACTTACGTCACGTTAGGCTTCCTCCTGAATTAAACTGACACGTCTTAAACATACAAAGTGTTCAAATCGGTGTTCATCTTGAGTCACTCACTCACTCAAAGCAGAGGTAATTCCACAACTCGTTTACATGTTAAATATGTGTAACTGAAATTTGTAGTAACAATGTTCTAGAGCAACGACATATCGTGGATGTTGTCTTACTTCCATGTCGCAGAATGCTCACACTATCGACCACTAGTTTATCAGGTCATTGTAAGTACAAAAGCTTTCGATAATAACATTTTAAATACAAACTGTGTGGGAAACTCGTCAAGGCATGCACAATATTCTTAATGTTTTATTTCTTACAAAATGAATACAGATATATGTAAATGCACTGAAAACACCGTTGCGTGTTTTAATTAGGAAATAAAATTTGGTTCAGTATGTTACAATAGACAATCAGCACACAAACGAGACGCACACAGTTACGCCCTGATATTCCGGACGGTGTCATCTCCAGTTGGAGTGAGTGAGTGAGTTGGGTTTTACGCCGCTTTTAGCAATATTCCAGCAATATCACGGCGGGGGACACCATAAATGGGCTTCACACATTGTGCCCATGTGGGGATTCGAACCCGGGTCGTCAGCGTGACGAGCCTACGCTTAAACCATTAGGCTACCCCAACGCCCCTTCCAGTTGGAACGTCCAAATATCAAATGTGCGGTATAATAACTACGATCACCTTGGGAACGGGTTCGGCTATCACTCAGATCTTTCAACCATGTCATAATTTATAATTCATTAGAATCGCATACATACCACGCCACATATTGCCACAAGCACACATATAAACATTCTCATAATCACGTGTATTTCACTGTATCCGGCGCAGCAATATGTACTTTCAACTGGTCGTGTTTTTTCTCATTGCCAATATATCCGTGGTTCCCAATATGTCCGTGGTTCCTGAAACACTGAATATAGGTACATGCTCGACAAGAGCGAGGGAGTATGGTTTTACGCCGCCATCGCAATATTCCTGCATAATCACGGCGACGGACAGCAGAAAGTATTCTTCACACATTGTACCCATGCGAGAATCGAACCTGGGTCTGTGGCGTGACGAGCGAACGCTTGAACCACTAGGTTACCCCATCGCACCCGTCGTGGCCTTGACATCATCAGGTGGATTTATTGAAGCAACAGTCGACGATACCACCGGCCTTTGATAGACATTCGCTGTGATAATATTACCATCCTGACAGCGTTTGTACACGAAGATCGCTGGATCCCTTAATTAGAACTGGGCGGTAATCTTGGCAGACTGTTAATTGTACGTGTCCCTCGGGCGGACGTCATATCCTTTCCAATACTCTGTCATCCCAATCTGGCCAATACATGTCTCTCATTCTCACACAGTACTGTCTCAGGTTGGTATATTGTTCTGGAAAGAAAGCAGTGTGTTATTAGTGTCGTTCCTTTGTGCTGGAAACAGTCAGGAAGTGGTGGCATTGGAGTAAAATGGTTCTCTCGGCGCTCTGACCACGCAGGACTTTTTACAAAACCCGTCTAATATGAACTATTCGGGTTTCGCCGTGATAAAACTCCGATGCTACTAGAGGCGGTGTACAACAATATTTGCTCACTGTTGTCAGAACAGAGTTTCTTATTTATGACCGCTTCTATCGGTAAGGGGGCGAGGGGGTTGGAAGGGGAATATCGAGATGTTCGTACGCTCGATGCGCACGAGATTGATTTGAATTTACAAGTTCGCGTGTTGCTCAATAAGAGTCGTGTCGGCCTTTTCAGCCTTTCCAAATGAAGTAAATACACACCATAAGTTGTTCGAGATCTCTTGCATATATATATACATACGGGGTTCTAAAATATAGGTTACTAAATATTCGGCAAAAAAATTGTTTCAACCACATGTTTTCGACAACATTAGGTATGTCTTTATAGAGGGAGGGCTATACTTTTTTATCGTAAGTGTTAATTTTACAGCGGATTCGGTGGTAACGAATGCTATACAGGTAAGATTACATTATAGAGTTTGCGCGCCCTGTCATGCCGTGTGTGGTAATTACCGTTAACTGCCCTCTCTCCCTCTGATCCAGGCATATGCCACACAACCTGGGCCAGTATCCCGAACACCGCACAGTCTTCCTGGCACGGGCTGTCTCCCAGGAGGAACTTTCTATCACCTGTAACACATGCAGATAGTGAGTGACTTCGCCACCCTTTTAGCGAACACCTGCTGTCATTACACATTTTCATGATCCGTTGATATGAAATTGGGGATAGTAAAAAATGTGCATTCTATTGATTGAGTGAGTGGGTGGGTGGGCGGGTGTGATGGTTTTGCGTGAGTGAGTGAGTTAGCAAGTCATACAGTCACACATTCAGTCATTCAGTGATATCTAACACTCTCTCACCCATGTGACGACAAGTCAACATGTGAGTGAGTGAGTGAGTGAGTTCATTGGTGGGTGGGTGGGTGGGTGAGTGAGTGAGTTAGCCAGTCACACATTCACACAGTCAGTCACTCAGTGACATCTAACACTCTCTCACCCTTGTGAGTGAATGAGTAAGTGAGTGAGTGACGTCTAACGCTCTCGCCCATGTGACGACAAGTCAACATCATGTGAATTAGGGACTTCTAACAGTGCAGTCGTTTTTCGAGACATCTAACTAGTATGTCTCCGATTATGTTGGGATATGGTAACTTCTACGACTATAAATGAATAATGGTACAACACAGACCGCATACCTGCATATATTGACTCACCTATGAAGTCTGACAGAGCCTTCAGGTCCCCATCTGCAATATGCGTCACTTCCGTCTCGGAGTGCCTTCCTATCCCATGATGCCATGCACTGGTCAACGCCTTCCGCATTAATATCTTCTTAACCAGCCAGTTTAGCCCAAGCCGAGAGAATATAGCCTTGTTTCTATCGTACACACATCTTGAAAGACCAATATACCTGGAACAAGATGATAATTCGTGTAATGCTGTAGCCGTACGTATTACATACATCCTCGCAAAAAGGAAACAGAAAGGTATATTTCGACACCTTTCCAAACTTGTCTAAATGCGGATGTCCATTTCTTTAGGAATAAAACGTATTTCTTTGCTTGTTGGCGGTCTTTACATAAAGTAAGGACCCTACTTGATAAGTAATGCAGAGTGATTCTGCCGTATTCGATCAAAATTTTTTCAGATGAACTGAAGTTTGCTTGGGCCGCCATTTTTACACGATTCATTGGAATTTGGGAGACAGTCCTATCCATTGGCGTATGGTTGTGTCATGCATCTTCATACTACAGACTGACATCAGTGTGACTACATGACACTGCATGTCAAATATAGTGACGATCATCCTCTCCTTCTGTCTCCCAGACATTAAACGTCTCCACCGGGACTGTCTTGTAATTTAACCGTAGCTGCAGTGTATGAAATAAGGCCCGTCCGACCGCCCGAGACGGGCTAGATTTCTGACGGACGGTCTAAATTTACAGCTAGCGAGCCCGATGGTCTGGTAAAATGTTTAGATGTTCCATACATCTGATTCAATTTACCATATTTGGTCTGGTTAAATCCATTTGGAATTTGGGAATCGTAATGTATCTGATGTCAGGCTGGATTTTTGGCATATGTCAAACACTGGTAGCTGTACAGTGATTTAACTGCATCTGTCTTCTAATCTAACTACGATTATCATGCAAAATAACCGCAATCGTAATGTATCTTAATTTGGTTTAGAACACTGAAGATAATCAATTTATCAATCAGTAAATGATGCTTATTGAAACACACTAACAGAATACACTGTAAACCAACCAGTAGATGTCTTCCTCTGCCAGCTTCCGGAACGCTCTGCCTATGGCTCTTTCTGATGGGTTATACTTGGAGTTGAGATCCACACTAAACCTGGCATTAAGGTATTCTATGCAGAATTCTGAGTCCGGGACTTGCTCCCCGTTGTATTCAATCCAAGGTGTTTTCCCTTTGCTGGACATTTTTCTGTCGAAAAGATTCTGAAACAGAACGTTAATGAATTGGTTAGTGGACAACATCATGATCACATGAAACAGAGCATTTAGAACAACCAGTTTATTGTTTGTTGCTATCGAACCGATCATAGTGAGATATAATATTTGAGCTAGCGTCATCTTCTTAAAAATGGACTTAGGGTTGGGGCTTGGTCGTTCAGGTAGGGTTATAGTTTGTGCGTGCTCGTTTGGTTGGGATGGGGAGAGGAGAAGTATCTAAAGTATCACCAAAGAAATAAGATACATTCTGTGGTGGAAAAGGGTTCAGTGTATTCTTGACGTTACTTTTAGCAATATTCCTACAATATCACGGCGGGGGACACCAAGGGGTTTCACACATTGTACTCGTGTGGACAATCGAATCCGTGCCGGCATGACGAGCGAACGCTTGAACCACTAGGCTACCCCACCGCCCCTAGACATGCAGAACCTTCTTACCTTGTATGGTATGCTGGACATCCGGAGATACGTCTCGAGTTTGAGGCTACCCCACAGACCCTAGACATGCAGAACCTTCTTACCTTGTATGGTATGCTGGACATCCGGAGATACGTCTCGAGTTTGAGGACGAAGGGGCTGATACTGGGGACGTGGACGCCCTTCCCCAACTGGTGCAGCATCACGGTATCCCGGGGGTGGGGCTCCGCATGCCTGGCGGATATTGAATATAGATACAGTCAGTATGTCTTACATCCCGTACCATCCTGTAAAACTTTGTAAGCTAATATTATAGGACTGTCCGTAGTAGTTACGTCCATTTTATTTACATACTTATTTATTCGTTCGTTCGTTCGTTCATTCATTCATTTATGTCTCCTTTTTTTGTTCAAATCACAGTTTCACAAATCTGGAATTCACATATTAAGTGACTCAGATTGTTATTTCCAATTGTGTGTATATAGCCTTGGAAATGTAAGACATAACGAAGCCACACGGAGGTCGGTCGGCAGTCTCTCAGTCCATGTTCATCACGATATCCTATAAAGAAATCTGCAATCACGTGAGAAAGACGACACTCGGCCAAGACATAATACTGATATCGTGATGCTAGATCACAAGAATATAGCAATTATGTATCTGACATATTGATGTTTTACATAAGATGCTGTCCACCTACGTGGATATTCTTGCTGTGTGTGCGTGCGTGTGTGCGTGTGTTTGCGTGTTTCAGAATGGTATTGTTCAGTTAGCGTTCCTTCTGTTTCAGTAAAATCCAATAATTTATCAAAGTTACGCTTCCATTTGACAGCCAGTTTATATCAAAAGTTACTGCAGTTTGGAATATACAGTTGTAAACAGACCTCCAATCTAAGCCATGTTGATACGAAAGTAATTGCGGTTGCTGAATCGTACACTTTGTCACGCCAAGACACGGGTTCTTACGCAACGTGTAAAGTCCGCCTACGTCTCCTCCATCGTAATATTGCTTAATGGGGCGTAAATATTCTTTCACTCACACACCCACGCGATTACTACACCTACATATGTCAAGCAACGTTGAACATATTCGGTTATGTTCAGAGCACAACTGGTTTAGCATTCATAATCTATATCTATCACCTTCATATACGGGAAAAACAGGTGAAACGGTTTCAAAATCACGACATCAGAAAATCCTACATGTATAAAATTATCCTGAAGTTTGATTTTTAATACGCCCACAAATCTCTAACACATCAACACGTGGATATAATTCATATCCCACGACGTCGCTTACAGCACACAGGAGAAACCTGCTGACCCAAAGGTCATGCAGCGTGCACACCAAGGGTTCGTCGTACCGGAAGTATTTAGGGTGCAGATACCGCAATTTCCACGTGGCGTTTTACTATTGGCTTTGTTCACTGGGCGGTGACGTTTTCTTATATAAATATTTTCACGTGGTATTTAGCTATTGATAGTGTTCAGTCAGCGATAAATGTGATTTTTTTCACATTGTCGATAGTGATTACCTTTCGACATGCAACTGTGTTCATGGTAGAAGGAAGGATAACAATATGTTCATGTGTTCATGATCACAAAGTGGTGTTTATCTTTTGTAACGTAAATATGTTGTAGGATGAGAATGAGAATATTGTTTCAGTACACTAAATGAACTGTGCAATAAAGCACGGGAGGTATTTTGTAAAGAAAGAAGGGGAGGAGCGGGGGACTTGCATAATCACCTAATACGCTTGACCTCGCTAACTCCTATCTTCGTTCTTAAATAACCTAGTGTATTTCAGACCTTGAAGTCAATGGGTTTTACGTTTGAGAAATGTCTACGTTCTTAAAGAAGCTTGGATCTTTGTAGTTAGCTATGTGTGACCTTAGAAACACTGTTCCGTGACTGATGCGGTGGGATAGCCGCAGACCCGAGTTCGATTCCCCAATCGATGGGTACAATGTGTGAAGCCTGTTTCTTGTGTCTCCTGGCGTGATATTGCTGGAATATTGCTAAGAGCGGCGTAAATCTAACTCACTCACACTCTTCCGTGACAAGTCGATAGGATTGGCAGCGACAAGGCGAATCAAATAAGCCGCGAAGACGAAGTATTTTTAATAACATTATGATTGCACAACTATAGCGGATATCGACATCAGCGTATATCGACATCAGTAGAATACGTCACCGTTTGAGTGAGTGAGTGAGTGAGTGAATTGGGTTTAACGCCGCTTTGAACAGTATCCCAGTTACATCATAGTCGGAACATAAGCTGGCCTCAGGTGTTTATGAATATGCTGAAACCAGAACGTAAGGGTATGGTGCTTACAAACCTAGAAGCTGGAATTCGAACCTACAGTTATAGGGTCCTGGCGTGCACAAGGGCGGCAACTCTGCACACAGAATTGCGACCAGAGGGTCCCATGTCCTATGTCTCAACGAGGGGCAGTGGGGTAGTCTAGTGGTTAAAGCGTTGGCTCGTCACGCCGAAGACCCGGGTTCGATTCCCCACATGTGTTAAGCCCATTTCTGGTGTCCCCCCGCCGTGATATTGCTGGCATATTGCTAAAAGCAGCGTAAAACTAAACTCAGTCAGTCAGTATGTCTCAACGTGAAATGTTGATGTCGTCATAAGGGTTCCCTGTCATTCAAAGGTTTACTGTTATGTCCAGTATGGTATGTCTTCCCGTAGCAACATGGGATGGAGTCAGCAGCATGCAGCTTCCAAATCACACTTAGTAGGGAATGTGCAGCTTTAAAACCCATGTTTGTCAGGAATATGTGCGCTTCAAAATCTTGTCAGGAATATGCAATCTCCAAACAAATAATAAGGAGTCCTTAATCTAGTTACATTGCCGTTGTTATTTTGAGTTTGGTGTAAGTATAAGCACTGGACCCTGTGTGATACTATTAGATGGTCTATGAATATTCATCGATGACAAAGCCCCGCTAAGCTTCAGCTGCCTGTGCTGTCCCACCTAGAAACTGCACAATGCACAAACGTTGTCGCGGTACTAAGGAAGTGTGTCCTACTTGTCGATATGAACCGTAGAATGTTCCCCAACTGACAAACACTTTAGTATGGAATCCTGGAAGGGACATTGTCGCGTTGTCGCATTGTCGCGTTGTCGCCCTCTCAAATACAAGCAAAATGGGGCAAAATTAACCAAAACGCGACATTGCGACAACGCGACATTTCGCCCATTTGTCGCATTGTCGCGATGTCGCGTGTCGCGTTTTGAATAATATTTTTTTATTCCTCCAAAGGGCGACGCGACAATGCGACAACGCGACATTTTGATGAAATGTGGCGTTGTCGCATTGTCGCGTGTCGCGTTTTAGTCAATTTTTAGGCTTCTTTTTACACATCTTAGATAGGGTGACACGCGACAACGCGACATATTTTGACCTTGAAAATTGTCGCTTTGTCGCGTGTCGCCCTTTGGAGGAATAGAAAAATATTATTCAAAACGCCAAACGCGACAATGCGACAAATGAGCGAAATGTCGCGTTGTCGCGTTTTGGTTTATTTTGCCTCATTTTATTTGTTTTTGAGAGGGCGACAATGTCCCTTCTCGGATTCCATACTATAGGGCAAAGTACGCGCCGACGAAATGCACAGATATGTTTTGTTGAACAGGTTATTGAAAACGCAACATTTCATGTTTACTCTTAACCCTGTTTCCGATTGTACTGTAAACTTGTCAAGCCGTTTTGGCTAAGATTTATGTATGGAAGACTCGTATAGCTATTAGTTCTAATCAACCCACAAGCTGTAGTATTAACATAATGGAATATGCTATTATGCTTAATGCAATAATGTTATAATGTGTACAAAAGTAAAGCAAGCGAGCAATTAAGCAATCATGACGATAATGGCCTCCACCAATCGCCCCAAATATCCAGCTTTTGTCTTGTGCGTGTAATCAGGGTCGTCACGCAGCGTCAGCACGTTGACTTAGAGACCCTCGTGTCTTTGCGAGGATTAAAGATTTTTAAAAATATTGTTTTTGAGATGACCCCCGACACAAAATACTTCATAGTACAACATATCATGATGTATTGTACTGCGGAACATTTGGAGTCGGAGGTCATCTCAAATTTTTACATATATTTTTAAACAAATTTAATCCTCGCAGAGACACGAGGGCCTGTGAGTGACTTTGCATCGGGTTCACACAGACGGTGCCAACATAGGGCTCTTTGGTGAATGTCGGTGATGGTGATTGTGATGACGTGTTGACATGATGCCGACATTGGTTACATTGTTACACCCCGACTACATTACAAGTTGCGTTAGATGAAGACGACACCAGATGTCCCGGTTAATTCTGGCACATCAGTTTAAACACTTGAACACCTGGTTACAACAGTACAGGTGAGAGTGACTTGACTTTTATAGCGTTGTTTGTAATATTCTAGAACTATCGTGGCGGAGGACTGCAGAAATGGACTTCCCACATTGAACAAATGTGGAGAATCGAACAAGGTCAATACAGGGTGTAACCAAAAATTAAGCTGGTACAGGCGAGGCTACGGTAGCGCGTTCAAGACACCAGCTTTTTAAACAGGCTGAGGATTTTTTGGTTTTTATCAAATCTCAACCAATGATTGGCCAAACCTAACCAGGGTTAGCCTGGTTCACATCCTGTCGTAGGCATCACACCATCTCATCCCACACATGTTCTGTTGGAGAGATGACGAGTAACAGCGGGCTATGGCGGAAAGCAGTGTTATGCAGCCTCAAAAAGTATGTTATAACAATGTGGGTGGGCATTGTCCATTGCAACGTGGCGTTCCGGCTCTGCATTTGCACAAAGAGTAGAAACATTGTTGTTCTCCCACGTGCTGTATAGCCCTGATGTAAATTCCAAAGGGATCTGGTGTTTCGATGCTCATCAACTTCTTCTTTTAGCATACCTATGGCGCGTAGACATTTATTTTCAGCACGCTATGGTATTGCGGAAGAGTTATTTACAGTTGGACAGAAGTGTTTTATGAGCATCAGTCTGACAGCTAAACATTCATTCCTTGCGGCTCACAGTCGAAAACAAAAACCAAAAACACAGTATCATGCTCCCATGAGATGGTGCCTCCATGCCTATGCTCTGAAAGATGCATTATTTGACTTTAGATTAAATATAATAATACATATCTATTGAGCCTTATAAAAAATACATATTCATTTATCGGTTAGTATAGATGTAAGTGTGTAACGTGTGTCAAA